CCTTCCCTTCCCTTCCCTTCCCTTCCCTTCCCTTCCCTTCCCTTCCCACTTTCCCTCTTGCTTTCACTCTCTCCATCTCTTCCAGTTACTCTTTCTGTTTCTCTTTCTCTTCTCCACCTGTTTCTCTCTCTCTTACCTCCCTTTCTTCCTCCCTTCCACTCCTCCCTGGCCTTGCCCCTTCCTTGCAGACAGACTTTGCCACCCTGCAGTCCCTCTGCCCGTTCCCTGTCAATCCCCCAAAGCCAGATCAGCAATTCCTGACGCACAGGTTTCCCTCAGGGCTCCAGCACTGGTGGCAGTGCAGTGACAGTGCAGTGACATTCGATGACGCCAGGCTGGACACCGGCACACGGCAGGGCACTGGGGAGAAGCGGAGCTTGGGCAAAAGGCAGCAGAAGAGACAGCAGGCGTGCTTGGGACGGGCTGTTCTCACCACACGACGATAAGGACAGTCAATAATAAAAACAGGCAGTCGGGACGCAAGCCCAGCCTTGAGCCAGCGACCTTCAGGAGCTGGGTTACTGGAGCAAGCCCAGGCTCTTGGCAGCAGGGCCGGCGAGCGTGCAGCCCTTCACACCCTGAGCAGAGGCTGTGAATCCTCACGCTCATTCAGTGCACTTTGATGGGAGATGGGAGCTGATGCTCTCTGGGTGCGCACGGCGCTCATGTTGCAGATGGCAACGCACATGCGTGCTGCCCAGGCAAGCCCCTGGAGCAACCCTGTGCTCTTACATAAGGAATTGCACTTATAAACCACTGTGCAAACATGACCCACTCACCAAGAACACCGTCTAGCTCAGCAAGATCCTGATAAAGCAAAAAAAAAAGAGGAAAAAACAGCTTCCAATCAGGGCTGTTTGTGTCTCGTGACCCGGGAGGGGGAAAGGTTGATGCTTGTGCAAGCCAAGTCCTTGCAGTGCTGTGGGACAGGGCTTGGCGTGACGGTCTGGAAGGTTCGAGCTGGCCGAGGTCCCCGTGGGCGTCCATCCCACAGCAGCTTCTGGATCTTTCAGAGCTTTGGGATCTGTGCACAGGCGTGTCCCAGGGCTCCATGCATCTCCGCAGAGCAAAGCCTGGGCATTTTGGGGGCTGCAGGACCCCAGTCTCAGGGCGTTCCTTTCCCCGCACAGCACTTCCCCATGGCAAGGGGTGCAGGATGTGCTGTCACACCACGTGTGGGATCTCGTGTTGCTGGCATGCTTGGGGGGGATGTGGGCATGCAGCTGATGCTATAGAGCACGTGCTTCTCGCTCTGCTTTGGGGAGCCTTCCCAGCACCACCAGTCCTATGCAGCCCTCCTCTCCCTCTGACCCCTTGTGCTGCACCCCTTTGAGCCATGGGGAAAAGGCCCAGCACAGCCTTGAAACAGCGGGGACGAAAAAACCTATAAGCTTGGCGAACAGCAAAACCGAGAGAGGAACTGGGAGTTAAAAATAAGATTGCTCACCAGGAGCCATCCCTCTGTTCCCAGCCGCCTGCTCACAGTGTGCCTGTGAGAACTGCGGTCCCGTGGGTACCGAGCCCTCCGTCCTGCTGGGCGGGAGGTGGCTGGGAGCAGCACATCCATGCAGCCTCTCCTGTACCTGACCTTAAATGCACCCGCGGGACTGGAGCAGAGGACAGGGCTCGCAATGAGCCGTGCTGCAGCTCCCTGCCTTATCTCACCCTGCGTGCCACTGCCTCGCTCCTCCCTGTGAGCACAGCCATGCATGGCGGTGAATCAGCGCCTTGGGCTGCGCTCCTTATCCCCGTGCAAGGACAGCCACGGCCCCGCGACCCCACGGCTGGGAGCCAAAGGGCACTCGAGGTTGGGAAACCTTTCTAAAGACACCTCCCTGCTTTGAAATCCTATGTGCTGTTTGTTTTGGTTTGTCTTTTTTTCCCAGTTCCTCTGGTCTCCTTGCACAGGGATCCCAAGGAGCTGCTGTTAGCAGCTGGAGCAGAAGGGATGGAGGGCACCGCTGGGTGGGAAGATGCACAAGCAGAGCTGGAGCCTGAGCATGCCCTCCTCCCAGGCAGGGTGAAAGCACGGAGCCTGCAGCTTTCCTCCTGCCTCTGCCTCCTGCAGCTCCCAGGACACCCTGTGCTCAGTGACACTGAGCCCCTGCCCTTCATCTCCCAGCATCCCCCCTGCAAACACGTCCCACCATGGGGTTATTCCATCCCTGGTCGGATCTCATCCTCCAGGACAGCATCCTGTGCCTGCATCCTGGTGGATCCCCCACCGGATGCTTTGTGTAGGGATGGCTGGGGGGCACGGGCCGTGCCCTGGCTCACACCGCAGGGCTGTGGTTGCAGCATCGCGGCGCTCAGGCGTTGCGGTTTGCAGGCAGCGGCGCGCACGAACCAGAAAGAACAAACTGTTCAGCCGCCAGCCCTTCCAGCTTCTGCTTTCGAAGTTATCTAACAGCACAAACAAAACCAGAAGGCGCTGGCTGGGCTGCAGCTGGCCTGCAGCGAGGGAGAGGCACAACCCATCCCATCTCTGTCCCCATCCCCGTTCCCTGCTCCCAGTTCTCATTCCTACAGCCAGGCGTGCCATGTGAGATTGCTGCGCGCTGTTGGACCCCTGGCACACGAGCTGGGATTGCCGAGGGAGAACGGAGGGAATGGGATGGAGATGGGGATGATCCCGGGTGCTTCGGTGGCACTGGGAAGTGGCCTTTGGTTTTGCCTCCCTGCGGGATGCACAGCCCATGGGGAAGCAGCTTGTGGCTGAGGGGATGGGATGCTCCTCTGTACCCCTAAACAAGCCGAGCACTCAGAAGGTTCTATGTCTGCCCTGCCCCTCTGCGAAAGGTGCAGCATGGGGACATCCCAGACATCTCACAGTTGTCCCTTACAGGAAAGGAGAAACTGGGCCCTGAAACCCCTGGCTGCGCCACAACGTCACAAGGGCTGAATTCACACGCGGGGGCACGGGTGGGAGGGGGAAGTGGGGAAGGGGTGGGGAGCCGGGTTACGTGGCCCCGCCGCCTTCCTTCCTGCACCAGCACACTGGGTATAAAAACAGCTGAGCTATAATTATCGGGTGGGAGCTGGATGGAGCTCCTGGGCACAGCGCTGCTGCAGCTGCAGCACTGGGGCCGTGAGGAGGTGAGGGATGTGTCCCCATGGGGCAGAGATCCTCACCCACTGCTCCTCCAGCACGGGTTGCTGATTGTGCCTATCCCAGCTCCTGCAAGGCTTTCTTGTAGGATGGGGGATCCACGTAGGATAGAATCGTTAAGGTTGGGAAAGACCACTAAGATCATCTCGTCCGACTGCCAACCCATGGATCCGTAAGGATGCATGAAGGAAGGGGAGCAGTGAAGGACAGGGGATCCGTGCAGGATTGGGATCCATGTAGGATGGAGATATATACGCAGGGCGGGGGATCCGTGCAGGATAAGGATCCACGTAGGACAGGGGATCCCAGATCCTGGATGTTTCGTTGAACACTTTTGCTGGTTCAGGCTGGGGTAACCATAGTTTGGGTTGGGATTTCTGCAGCTAGTTAAAAAACAGTGAGCTGGGAAGGGAAAGCTGAGAGATGGCACGCAGGCGCCCAGTTGTTGCAAAAGGCTCAGCCAAGGGCTGGCGGTGGGACATGGCGTGTGCTCGGGGTCAGCTCCATTCCCAGCTCTCCAGCCCCATCCAATAACAGGGTTTGCTTTCACTTCCCCGCTGGGCTTCCAGGACAGGCGAGTGCTGGGAATTTTCCACAAGAAGAGAAACAAAACCAGAAGACACACAAAGAAAACAACGTTCAAACTTGGAACTAAGGAAGGAATCCATCATTTCCTACCCCAAAAACCACCCGCACTTGGGCAAGGGAGGGGACAGGGAATGGAAGCAGCCACCTGAGTGAGGTGAATGGGACACAGAACGGTCCTGGCTGGGGTGGGAGTCATTTTGGCCGTGGGGCTGCCAGCTGGCTCAGGCAGGGGGACACCACAGGTGGGAGGTGAGGCTTTGTGCCGTACCCTGAGGTGCATGAGGTGGTCTCTGAGCCCTCCAGAGTGGGATTTTCTGCCCTGTGCTGCAGATTCCTGGGCTTTAGAGCTGGCTTTGTACCAGGTGGGGGTGTCAGCACCCTGAACCCCATCTCACTACCCTGCTCCTCCTCCGCTGCCGGGCAGGGCAAACCTGGATTAGCTGTTCCCCAGCACATCCCAGGTGTTTGCTTCATGGGACTCCCCTCCCGGAGGGCTGCTGATGAAAGACTGAGTGCAAGTTGCCAGCAGAGCAAATTGCATCAGACTTTCCCCGTGAGACAGGCACAGCCCACATTGCAAAGCCCCTGTCCCGGGTGCTCCTGCCCCAAACGAAGAGCAGGGAGCTGCAGGGGCACTGCTAACCAAGAGTTCTCCTCCGTAGGAATGAGCAGAGGGCAAAGACCTCGCACTGCAGTGTCCATTCTGTCCCCTGCATCCTTGAACAGACCCCACAACCTCAGCCCTCCTACTGTGAGCCACATCTCTGTGCTCTTCTTGCACACAAGGGTTATTTTCTCCCAGCGCAGAGGTAGCTGGCCTGCCTTGTGGGCTCTGTTTTCTTCTATGTGCCAACCAAGCAAAGCTTCTTCCTTATCCCCCCCTTGCTAATTGTTTCCGTATGGCTGTAATTTCACCATGTCCTGGAGCAGGGCTGGGTTCCCTGCTCACACAAGATTGAAAACAAGAGGTTTCCAACACCAACGCTGGCTGCTGGCAGGCAAGCACATCCTGCACGCCGTGCCCGGGAGCCAGCTGTGTGGTGCCAAGGATGCTCTACTGCCTCTGCATGCAGCCAGGGCAATTTTGGGGACCTGGCAACCCCATCCCTCCATGCACTCTTCCCTTGGGTAGCAGCAAGTCGTGCACCATGCTTTGCACATCAAAGGGACCGGGCTGTGCAGGGCATGCAGGCAGCTAAGTATAGCCATGCTGTCGTGCACGCTGTGCTGTTTGCAAACAGCAGCCTTGTTGCTTCCTCCCGCTGCACCCGGTTGGGAAAGAGCAGGGCAGCATCTGTGTGCTGGTGACTCATTGGAATGGGATTGGCGATCCACCAGCTCTGCTGTGGGGCTGGATGTGCCTCGTGCACCGACCTCTGCCAGCACCTTGCCTTGGCCCGTGGGCTGTGAGTTGGGTCTCAGGGGATGGGCGAGAGCTGCCCCCCACCATGGGGCTGCATAGGGCTGATGTTGGGTTCAGCCAGATAGAGGTCCCATAGGAGTGTCTCATGAATGCAGGCCTAGCAGCTGCCAATGCTGTTTTCAGTCTTCTACAGGGAAGGTCCCATGCTGGTGGTGGACCTGCTTGCTGACGGGATGACTGCGGAGGGCACAGCAGTGACATCTGCTGGGTGGCACCGTGGAGGACCCCCGTGCCACCTTCCAGCCTCATCCCAGCCCCAGGACTGTTGCCAGCACCGGAATCTGCACGCAGACCTGAGCTGGGGGTTTGGGGTGCTGTGCCCACGACTGGGACGTGGATATGCTGCTCGGTGGCAGCAGCTTCACAGAGACCCCTCTGTTCTGAAGGTGCTCAT